AGCAAGCACCTCAGGGAGGAATCCATTTCCCTTGTGTGCTAGTTTTCTGCTTGCAGGCAGGACGTGTGTGTGTGTGTGTGTTTGTTTTGTAGCTGCTTGCAGGCAGGACGTGTGTGTGTGTGTTTGTTTTGTAGAACAGTATTAAACAGTGGACTCTCCCCTCTTCATTCTGATGCATGTGTAGAGATCTCTGTGGATTTGTGTATGAAGTTACTCCTCATGAATTGTGTTGTTGCGGGGGGGGGGGTTCCTTGAAAGTGAGCTTTCTTCACGGGATCTCTTCCTCATAAGATGTGTGTCTCTCTCGGGAGGTTGCTCAGCACCGCCGTGCCACGCATGTGTTCTGGCACATAAGGACAAGGACTGTTCCCAAAGAAAGCATCTGAAGAGACGTTTTCATTTTGGAAAGGGGCCTTTCCACAAACTTGGGAGATAACCAGAAGAAGAAAAACTGGGAACGCCATTCAAGTGGGTCCTACTCCGTCTGCGGGTGAGTCCTCAATAGCAGCGTAGCCTGAACAATAATATTTGCTGGCAGTGGCACCGTGGAATCTTCCAATCCCGGACGGGGCTTTCTAATCTTAGCACTGAAACCCAAACACACACATGCCAAATCCCTACTGAGAGTAGCTCCGCAGAACCTTGAAACATTACGAGAATGAGAGAGGCGGAGGGACTGGGGCAAGTCCATGAGACCTGGGGCCGGGGGCGTCTGCCTAGCCCCCCAGAGAGGTTTCCATGCCCGAGGCAGAACACCCCCACCCCTGCATTAAGAGGAAGGAGCGGTCCCCTGGGCAGTTCTCTCGGGCCCAGCCCCATTGAAGGGAACGGCCGAAAGGCACAGCGACGGTGGCTGACTGGAATGCTGGCAGCCCTGCTTGAATGGCCCGGAAGGTCTGCCACCTTAAGGCAGCTCGCCACCGGCCTCTGCCCGACGGAAACGGGAGCGCGGTTTGAACATGACTCAGTCCTGCAGCTGATCACACAGTGGTCTGGGCGGCTGACACCTTGAATGGCACCTGGAGGTGTGGAAGGCGGGGCCTTGGGGGGGGGGTTCTCCTAGAGATTTCTCCTGTCCTGCCCGAGATCTTTCAGCATCCAGTGGGGAGCCCTAGGGCGTTATAAGGGCCAAGGAACAGAAGCCTTTCCCCCTCGGACCCCTCTTCCCCAGGCACCAGGGCTGTGCAGGCTGAGAGCCAGTGCGGTGTCGTGGTTAAGACTCTAATCTGGGAGAACCGGGTTTGATTCCCCATTCCTCCTCCACTTGCACCTGGCTGGATGACCTTGGGCCAGCCGTAGCTCTGATAAGAGCTGTCCTTGAAAGAGAGCAGTTCTTGAAAGAGCTCTCTCAGCCCCACCTACCTCCCAGGGTGTCTGTTGTGGGGAGGGGAAGGGAAAGGAGACTGTAAGCCGCTCTGAAACTCCTTTGGGTAGTGAAGGGAGGGGTATAAATCCAATCTCCTCCTCTCCTCCAGTTGTGTCGTGGTTAAGTGCGCGGACTCTAATCTGGGAGAACCGGGTTTGATTCCCCATTCCTCCTCCACTTGCACCAGCTGGATGACCTTGGGCCAGCCGTAGCTCTGATAAGAGCTGTCCTTGAAAGAGAGCAGTTCTTGAAAGAGCTCTCTCAGCCCCACCTACCTCCCAGGGTGTCTGTTGTGGGGAGGGGAAGGGAAAGGAGACTGTAAGCCGCTCTGAAACTCCTTTGGGTAGTGAAGGGAGGGGTATAAATCCAATCTCCTCCTCCTCCTCCTCCCAACCCAGGATTGTAAGAAACTGCGTCTCTAGCCCTGAGCGTTGTTGCTGGGTTTTTTAAAATAATTTTTTATTTTACTAAAAGATAAGTCAAGTATACACAAATAAACCCATTATATCTCAACATTACTGCATAAACATTCATACAAACTGTGAGTGCAGAGACATTCATCACAATGCCGTCTATTAACTTGTCAGCAGGACCTTCGTATGACCACATCCTTACACTTTCTCGTGATTTTCCAATTCTTCTAAGATTGCTAGAATAGTAACGTATAACAACTCTAGATATATGTTAGAAGGACCTCAATAGTATTTTGTGAGAGTGCTCAGACCATAAACATTCTCATAGATGTGGCCATTCCGCATAGCCAGGATGTGCTGGTAATACATCGTTTTCTGTGGAATATGTTATGAGAGCCCTGAGCATTGTGAAGTGTCTTTGGGCAACACCTGGTGAGGCCAAAGAAGGTTACGTAGTAAGATGTCTGCTGGCAAGAACTACAAAACGTTGGCTACTGCAATTCCCTCCCTCACCTGACAGCTGAGTTAGTGTGAGCTAGCTCACAGTTCTTTAGCCTCCGTCTCACACATTTTTGTCTCAGCTCAGGAAAGGATGGGGCTCCGGAGCAGAATAACTTATGCAGGAGCCGAATCGCTCGCTCACAACTTTAATGCCAGTAGCTCACATAGTAGCATCTTTGCTCACCAGACTCCACAGCTTAGAGGGAACATTGGTTGGGGGGGGGGCACCCGAAGGGTGGCCTGTAACTCTGGAACGTCGGCTTGTTTTCCTCGCAGGCACCTCTCGAAAAGAGGGTTTCCCAAGGCCAGGCCACCTGCAGCGCATGGAAATCGATCAAGGGAATCAAGTCACTGCCCGCCGCTGTTGCTTGAGCATGACCCAGGTACACCGAACGGTCATGTTGGCGGGTTGTTCTTCCTAGCGACAGACACCTCACAGTTCTCTGCGGGGAGGTTATTTTAACTCTGCCAACTGCTCTCTGTACTGCCTGGTGCCAGACTTGTGAGGCTTAGCGACAGGCATGCTGGCAAGATTGCCGCCTTCCATCCCAGCTGGAGTCTAGAGGCTGGCCCAAGGAGTCTCTTCGGCCGGTGCCCTCTTGGCTTAATTCCCCAAATGAGAGCTGCTGGAGCTTCCGCCTGCTTAGCATTAGAGGGGCGCGGGGGGGCTTTCAGCCCAACCTACCTCTAGAATAACAAACATGGGGGCTAGTCGGGCGCTGCTCTAAATTTTGAAGCAGGACCGTTCAAAGCAATGGGGAAGTCCCAGTTCGTTTTTGTTGCCATCAAAGTGACGACGTTGTGCGAAGCCCCCCAAACGGCAGACCTCGGCGGGTCTCTGGACTTGAAGCAGCCAGTTGTTAAAATTATAGGACAGGATGTTGATGTGGTGTGTGGCATTGTTCCCTCTAAGCTGAGTGAGTGCGAGCTAGCTCACAGTTTTCTAGCCTCCAGCTCACACATTTTTGTATTAGCTCAGGAAGGGAGGGCTCCAGACCAAACTCATTGATGCAGGAGCCAAATCGCTCGCTCACAACTTTAATGCCAGTAGCTTACAAAGTAGAATCTTTGTTCACAAGACTCCACAGCTTAGAGGGAGCATTGGTGTGTGTGTGTGTGTGCGCGCAAGATAATCCCAGGTCAGTTTTCAGAGGCACTTGAAATAAAACCTGTGGCTTGTATCTTATCAGTCCACTCAGCAAAGCTGGAAGCGTCCAGCCTGAAACATCCTTCTGCTGGAGGAAAAGCCACTTGCCAGGTCATTTTTCAGAGGCGTTTGAAATAAAACCTGTGGCTTCTATCTTATCAGTCCACTCAGCAAAGCTGGAAGCGTCCAGCCTGAACCGTCCTTCTGCTGGAGGAAAAGCCACTTGCTTTCGACTTTGCTAAGCAGAGGAAGGTCGAGGTCTGCACGAAGGGTGCGTCTTAGCTGGAGCCCCTCTGAGTCGTGGCCAAAATGCCAGTCAGCCCGGACAGATGTGCGGCAACTCACCAGGGCAGAGTTAATTCGGGATCCTGTGAAGGGATCTGCATATGTAACTATTTCTCCTGTACTCGATTCCATTCCTTGTTCCTTCCAGGCCCCCCCCCCCCTGGCCCCAGACATTATTGCAATCTGTTTGTGTCCTTTTGCTAAGTGGGTATTGCCTTTCCTCCAAACAGGCCCCTAGCCACCATGGGGGGGGCACTTTGCCCGTCCAATCGGATAGAGGGCGGGATGAAGACAACCCAACAAGAATCTTGCCCTCTTTA